GATGCTTCTCGTATTTAAAACGCGATATATGTACGATTTGTGATTAAATTTAACTTTTGTAATAAATAAACAATTTTAAACATACTAGTGACGAGAAAGGCGAAAGTTTTCTCGTCCTCGATATTTGCAAAAGACCTTCATCTTCCTCGTGTCGTACAAATTAGAATCTGAGATAAAATTGAAAGATCTTTGTTTTTCTGGAAAGCAATATCATCTTTCTATCTAGTCTCTTACCTTTAATCTATCTTTATTTTCGATAGCTACTTTTCGCGATTTTAACATCACGAATAAGTCCTCTGAAATAAATAGAAAAATATTTTAATATAAGGTATAGAGAATAATAATCTACGTTAATTTAAAAATAGATTAAAGTCCTTTTCAAACACAATAAAATTTATGTAAATAATCCACAGTTATTGGTTTTACGCAAAAACTATTATCATATAATTTGGTTTCATACTTTATTTTAGGAGTGTCCTTTGTTAGTATCGAAAATAGTTGGATTAAAGCAATGAGATGAATTGCCTTATCCTCGATTTCTTCCTCAGATCCCTGTTAATAGTGTACATCCGCATTCGTAAGCACTTTGCTTTTATTGGGTTCAATTATTCAGTGATTCATTTATAGTAAAAAATATCTTCACGGAAAGAGATTGTTGAACACACAAAAATATACAACAATTCTAAATAAAATCGCATATGATGCAAAATGCACTGTATTAAGGAAAAGTCAGAAAATTTCGAGTAATATAGAAAATGATGCAAGTCATTGTATAAATTTTAATTGATTTTGTGTCGATGAAATTCAAGTAATTTGAAAGCAAGGTTAATCAGAAACATGTCAGCGATATCGCATTACATATACATACACATACATATGCATATATGCATATTGATATAACGTAAACAAAAGACTAAGATCGTTTAAGCATCAAAATTATCATTAAACGATAAAAATCTAAGTATATATGCGTACAGAACTGCTTATTACGTGCATTTTTTACAAACAATTTATATAGAAATATATTTTCTTATTTTCTAATAATGTATGTCAAATAAATTAAATTCTACTATATCTTGAACAATAATAGTTCATTGAAATAATTTATATTTTTTATATAACTTTTTCTCGCATTTATCTGCGACTATCAAAGCATTTATATTTATTTATATCTTATTAAAATGTGCACAGATAGAAATTTTGTATTTTTAAAATTTGATTTTTATAACACAAGGTATATAAACACAAATAAAATATTATTATAAAATATATATATATATATATATTAGAATTATAAAATATATCGAAAGATTATAGTAAGTTAAAATAATGATCAATAAAATTAATTGTTTAAATTAAATTAATTGGTTAAAATTAAATGTGACAAACATGTTAGCGATTCACAAAATAATATCGCTTACAAATTATGAGTAAATGCAGATGAATGTTTACAAATATAACGTACTTTTTCGTCGATTTCTGTCAGATTCATTCGTGATTTTAATACGTGTTTTGAAAGAAACAGATTTATACGTTTTCTCTAATCTACTGAAATAAATGCGCGCGTTATTTAATTTTTGTTATATTTAACTGTATATACAATTGAGAGAGATGGACAAAGCAACAATTGAATCGACTTTGTCGATACCAACATTTTTCCTGGAAGAAGTATTTTCATTACAGGCGCAACCGGATATCTCGAAAAATGTTGATAGAAAAGTTACTGAGATCATGCCCGGATATGCAAGAAATATTCTTATTAATGCGTCCGAAGGCCAATATGTGCATTGAAGAAAAACTCGAGCAGATGTTGAAAAACCGGTAAGTTATAATATAAGAGAAATAATTAAAATATTATTAATTAATTAATATTACGTATACAAGGTGATCCGCATTACGTATTATAAAAACAATTCCGGAACAATTTGACTTGCTCATATCATTTTTTAAAAATATTGTTATATGTTTAAAGAGAGGCTCTGTAACAATGATAAAATTATATGTTTATCGTCTCTCTTTTATATAATATTATAGAATAATATATAATATTATATAGTATAAAATTTTTATAATAATTATTATATAATATTATAAATAATATTGTAATATAGATGTATAAATATGCATACATTCGATAAAAATATATCATATGCCATTCAAAAAAAATTATATCATTCTTTTATGTGTATTATATCTTGCAGTTGTTTGATAGATTGCGAAGTGAACAACCCCATTGTTTAAAGAAATTGATTCCATTAAAGGGTGATATCGAGATCGAAAGATTAGGTTTGTCATTTGCTGACAGAAACACATTGATCGAAAAGGTGTCTATAATATTTCACGTAGCGGCGACCGTGAAATTCGATGATACACTGAAGAAAGCTGTGGTTATAAACATACGGGCGACAAGAGACGTCTGCATTTTAGGCGAATGTTTGAAAATTTGGTGGTAAATAATTTGCTGGAATATATAGAAATGAAAATTCTGCGCGTCAATTTTAATCCAAATTATTTCTCACAACACTATCCCACTAACTTGACTTTATTTTATTTTTTAAGGCTTTGGTGCATGTCAGCACAACTTATTCGCAGGTTGATAAACCTGTCATCGATGAGATTGTATATCCAACGGAAGTCGATTGGAAGAAGACGATTCAAATTGCGGAAACTTTGGACGAGTATACCTTTGAAGTGTTTAAGTCAAAGTAAGTGCTAAATTCTTACATCGATTCCTTTATTTTATATATTTGTTTAATAAATAGTTATAAAAATGATATACTTTTATTATAATATAATTGTACATTTTTTGATAAAGTTCAAATAATAACACATAAAAATGACTAAAGCTAAACTCGGGATTGAAAAACGTTTAAATAATTTTAGGCCCTGTTTATTATTTTAGTTTAAAAATTAATTAAAAATTAATTTAAAGTTAAAGTTGAAATAATTTATGATTTTTTATATTTATATCCAATATACCGCAAGTGACTTTGAAAGAATTCTGTAATAAGTACTCTTCTTTTCAAATCGATACTTATTTGAATTATTTACATATCAATATTTTTCATTTTAATATCACTTTCGTACATTTCTATTTGGAATATAATAGTTTTGACACATCCTCGAGATTTTTACAGATACATAGGTACAATGCCGAATTCATATATTTTTACCAAGAGACTTGCAGAGCAGGTGATATTTGATTATTCCAAATCATTGCCGTGCGTGATTTGCAGACCGTCTATAAGTATGTATTTATTCTAATATAAATATATATCATATAAGACAGAATATCTTAATATTAATATTAATTTATTATCATAATCTTAATATTAATTTATTATCATAATCTTAATATTAGTTTATTATCATAATTTTCACGAGGTATTTATTATCAGAACTGATTTTCTGAATTTCACTCATAGCTAAAGTTTAGATAAATTATTTCTTTTTTACAGAAATAATATATATAGATATCAAATTCTTTTAATATATTTATAAAATTAAGATAAATTCAACAATTTATTTTATTTCAAATAATACTAAAAAGCTTGTTCTATATCAAATAAAAAAAATTTCTATTTCAATAGTCTACAATTTGCCTTGAACCATAAAATAGAACTACAATATATATTCACATTTATTGATATAAAATTTTCTTAAATTAACATTTTTTTCAGTTACACCAACGTTAAATGAACCTATGAAGGGTTGGCTAGACAGTTTTAATGGTCCAGTGGGATTGATGGTCGGTTGTGGAAAAGGAATAATACTAGTGTTTTACAATGATTCATTCGTTAATGACAACTATGTTCCAATTGACATTGTCACTAAAGCTATGATTGTTGCAGGATGGAAATGTGGCATAATAAAGTACAATTAATTGCATTCTTATAAATATCCAGATAGCAAGCTGACGTCATTAAATGTCAAAATGACGTCTTTTTGACGTCGAATGACGTCACACAGCTTGCTACCTGGGTACCTATCATTTTTGTTTTAAGATTAGCTAAAATGTCATATAAAGAGTTATTTAAAATTTATACTATAAAAAATATTAAAAAATATATTTAAATTATAAAATTTAATATAATAAAAATATATCATAATAAATCTGTGTAATACATATTTTTTGTAAAAGATTTAATAAGATCATTTTCAATTTTGTTAGCAAAAATGACGACACGCAAAATATTCTTCCACTTGTTTATAACTGTTCGACGACTCATGAGACGAATCCATCACGTTTTGTGTTGTTTCAAATAAGCACGAAAATTCTCGCAAACATTCCTTTGGAAAATATGATTTGGGCTCCTGCAATGATTACGACAAAGAATCGTTTCTTTTACAAGATATTAGTATTGTTGCTGCATGTAATACCAGCCTTATTTATTGATGTATTATTACAATTCGCAGGCAAACGTCCAAGCTAAAACTTTTTTTTTCTTGATCAATCAAAATATATTATATTTGCTAATCATAATTCAAAGAAAACTAAGAAAACAATAAAATTACACTTGAAATATTTTTAGATTATTGAAACAGCAAAGGAAACTATTCATAAGTTCCGAATTAGCCACGCATTTTCTATTGAACAAATGGGTCTTTCAAAATAAAAAACTAATAAGTTTATCAAATGAGGTGCCCCGCAACAATCAACGAGACTTCGGATTTGTAACAGATCTAGATTACGACAAACCACTGTATTATAAGTGAGTAAGACAAAAACTTTGCGACACACAATCTTAAAATTTATTAATCTTCAAAAAGATATGAGTGAAAGGTGACTATTTATATATTTAATATATTTTTGTTTTTATTGAAAAAAATATTAAATTTAAGAAAGAAGAGATAATATTTATATAAGCGATTAAATTTTATTTTTTTGTCGTAGAAATTGTATAATTGGAAGTAAACTTTTTCTTCTAAACGAAAGTATGGATCGATTGGATGCGGTGAAATTTCATTATAGAAGGTAAGATTTTGACTGCATTCAGTTTATTTTATGTACAAAAAATTATGCTCCGCCTTATTCTTCTTTATTTTTTCAATTGTGTATGAAATATATTTTTTCCGCAAAAAAAATATTTGTCATATTGTTTAAAACAATTGACGAATAACTTTCTCAAGATATTTACATCTTTAACTTCATAAAACACAAATGTATATAAATTTACTTGATACTTTGATTTTTGATCCATTAAACTTTATATAAAATTGCACAAACAAATTGTTTATTTTTTCGAGCACTATAATAGTAAAACTAAGCTATCTCAAATATAAATTCAATTAGCCGAGTTATTCTGAAAGAGATTTTAATGATTTGATATAAATATATGGTCCAAAATAATAATTTAATTCTCTTTTATGACTGTAGGATGCTATGGCTCGATAGAATTGTGAAAATATTGGTCGGCACTCTCATTATGTGGATAATATATGATAAATATTAATGTGGATTAATTGTTCTATAAAAAAATTTGATTTAACAATTGCGGTTGCACCAAATATATAATCTAGATTGTTATTAAGTTTAGATAATTACTGTATAAACATTAATAAACTAATTATAATAATACAAATTTATATCAATTTTTTATCGAGTATTTCATTGTTGAGAAAAAGAAGGAATATACCTTCTTATTCATGAAGAATGTCAAGGTTTAAGAAATAAATTTTATTTGGACAACACAAGTTAATTTGTGTTGTCTAGTGTAAAATAAAAAAAATTGTAATATAACGTTAAAAAAACTGTAGAATAAACTGCAAAAAAGCATGTCATTATACTACTGGATCAAGCATACATTAAATTATTATTAGACTGCATTATGTAAGTTTGCTTTTTCACCCTTGGTTTAAATAGTTTCCGTTTTATTAATGTCTAGATGCACATCTATTTAACAAAACGTTATATAGCAAATGATAATCTAGCATATGATTTTAATTGAGTAGCGTACGTCGTTGAAGTTTGAGCTCAGTTTGTCATCTAATTAAACTCCTGCTGTGAAAAATCAATATAAAAGAGATCATTAAATTTCCGAGTGCACTTGTATTTATTTTTGGCAGTTACGTTGTTATTATATTATTTATATTGATTTTGTTTTAATAACGATGGATGAGAATATAAATAATCCAATCAAGTCAATTACATCGTTTTACGCTGGACAAAGTATATTTTTAACAGGTGCGACAGGATTTATGGGTAAAGTATGCATGGAGAAGATACTGCGATCTTGCCCAGATGTTCGCGAAGTGTTTATATTGATGCGCCCAAAAAAAGAACAAAGCATTAACGAAAGGCTCGAACAAATATTGAAATTACCGGTAAGTCAATTACAGAAGTATAGATACTTTTTTGAATTTTTTAAGAATTATTCTAACGATTAAATGAAAATGTTCTTTTGAGAGTGTTATCATATGACGCTTCTTATTTTTACAAAAAATTAATTTTACAATTTGATAAAAGTGATAAATTTAATTAAAAAACGTATAAGTAATAGTAGAGAGAACATTTGAAAACGTAAGATATAGTGTAAAAGTAACAAAAATATTCTACAATTTTTTTGCAAAATTATTGAAGATATAAGAATCATGGCAATTGTAATATAAGTACGTTATATAACATGTATTTTTATTTCAGTTATTCGATAAACTGCGAAAAGAGCAACCTTCAAATTTAAAAAAATAATTCCACTTTTTGGTGATGTTAGTAAAGAGAACTTGGGTCTGTCGGCTGCCGATAGAGAAATGTTAGTTGAAAGAGTGACTATAATAATTCATGCAGCAGCGAGTGTGAGATTTAATGACAGCTTAAAGTATGCTATTTTTATAAATACTAGATCGACAAGAGATATCTGTATCTTAGCTCAAGATATGAAAAATCTTCTAGTAAGTATAAATGTGACAAATGGCGTATTTAGTGTTTTTTTAAGTATCTATTAATATATAAATTATTTAATGTGTTTTATATAATAATTAATATTACAAACTATTGTTATTATAGTATAAAAATTTTGTCGAACAATAATTTTATTCTTTTTTACGTAAAAAGAATTACAGTTAAACACTTAACAACAAAAATAAATATGATTTCCTTTCAATTGCAATTAAGTTCATTTAAGTCTTTATTATTTAAAAAAAATGTAACTTTACTATTAAAACGTATTTATTTATTAAAGGCACTAGTTTATGTTAGTACAGCATACGCGCATATAAATAATTCTGTCATAGAAGAAAAAATATACCCACCAGTAGCCGATTGGCGGAAAATGATCAAAGCAGCCGAGTCATTGGATGAGCATATTTTAAATGTCTTTACAGCTAAGTATGACAAACTATATGTATATAAAATCAATATAACATTTATAAATTTCAAATAATTTTTATTTATATATTATTATATTTATTGTTATTATTTTATTAATAATTTATACTGTGATACACGTTTTTTATAATAAGACTTTTAATATATGCATAAAACCGCGTTAGTGCATATGTAATATATGCACAAATATATGTACAATATATATAGTTAAAATTTTAAGTATAATATGATATTCTAAGGCTATTAATTTTTCATATAATTTTGAAATATTATGTACAGATGTTTGGAATGTTTTCCCAACACATACATATTCTCGAAAAATTTAGCTGAGAGTGTAATAGCGGATTATTCTTCATCGTTACCTTGTGCGATTGTAAGACCTTCTATAGGTATGTTATTTTTTTTCTTTAAGATGTTAAAAATAAATTTTTACTTTTCCCTTTTGGAATGCGATTTACAATTTGACATATCAAAAAGAATATCTCTTAATAAAATATAAAAAATGTATGTGTATTTTAAAATAAAGTGTTTATATTAGAAAACCATTCCACATAAATTCTCATATGATACATAATTATTACAAAACGTTTACTCTACTGTTATTGGAAATAACTAACAAGTAAATTTCGTTTCACAATTCAAGAAATAAAAAAATACCTTGATAGATTACTAGAATAAACAATAATGTAGCAATACGTATTTAACAAGTATGATTCATATTTTAGTGTCAAATACATTGAACGATCCATTCCCAGGATGGATAGATAATTTGAATGGTATAGTAGGAATACTTGTCAGTGGTGGTAAAGGAGTACTACGAGTATTCAAGACTAATAAACATCTTCGTCCAGATGTGATTCCGGTAGATGTTGCCATCAAATGGTTGATAATCACAGTTTGGAAGATTGGATTGACCAGGTACGATTATTATATCAAAATACTAAATACTCATATAATAAAAATACATATAAAGTATTATATATTTAACTGCATTAAGTGCATGCTACAAATATGAAAAAAAAGTTTCTCCTTTCATTTTAAAACTAAATCAACATTTCAGCAAAATCATACGCATTTTACTCAAAAAAAAATTATTTCATAATTAAATTGACAATTTTGAAATTGATTTATTAAAATTTATTAATTTTGAATGTTTAAGACTTTATAATAATATTTTGTAACTCGCACAAACTTCTAAATTTTTCAAAAATACTAATAATATTGCACCCTAATGCACTCTAATGTTTTTATATATAATTTTGTATAAATAACAATTTTTTAATTAAATTTATAATTTTATTTATTTATTAGCTTCAAGCCGGGTTCTTCACCTTTTATCATAAATTGTACTTCTTCCAATCTGAGAGGATTGTCCACAGAATCAATTTGTAAAATGGGTTTTCAACTTTTAGATGAGACACCCTTCGAGCAAACTCTTTGGACTCCCCGTATAATATTTACTAATAATTCCATCATATATTATATATTGACAATGTTGTTGCATATCTTGCCAGCTATTTTAATAGATCTGATTTTAAAACTTACGAAACATAAACCTATGTAAGTACCAAACTAACATTTTGCTCTCAAATTTACAGATCATTCATATCCTATTAAATACAGTTGTTTAATTGAATCGGGAAGATTAGAAGAAGAGAGACAGAGAGAAAGAGAAAAGAAGACAGAACAAATGACTAAAAACCATACTATCTAAAATAAAATTTATTTTTAATGCAAAAATTATTTTTTTTGTCATAAATATAGACATATATATATATATATATATATGTATATATATATATATATATATATATATATATATACCCAGATAGCCTAAGTATTTTGATGACAAATGATGCATTTTGACATCAAAATGATGTCATAATAATTACTGTGGCTATTTGGGTATGTATTTCTAAAATATCAATGTACACGCATGTGCGCAGAGGCAAAACTTATTGTTAGTAAAGAAATATTTTTTAACGCAATTTGTATAAAATTAAATATTTCTTTTAAACATTTTTTTTACGAAACTTTCTATATTTCCCGATTCAATAGTATAGCTGACATTACATCATTTGCATAAATTGCTTTATAAATGTATACGCAATGTAGGCTATTAACACTGCAAAAAAAAGTATACACGGCCTGCTGCGCTGTGGGATATTTTGCGAATCATCAATGGATATTTAAAAATAACAATGGTATAGATTTATTCGATTCAGTTCTACCCGAAGACAAAGAAGCATTCTCATGTGATATTTTAAATATTGATGTTAAAGAATTTTACAGGTAAATATTTTTTATTTTAACTTTTTAAGCAATGTTTACATCGAAGATGATGTTAAGTCATTAGATATTTATTTTACGAAATAAAGGGCCAGTTTAATTGGAGCTAAAAAATATCTCTTTCACGAGGACATGAATCGCTTAGATGTAGCCAAAGCGTATCGCAGAAGGTGAGTGTAAAGAATGTATTTTATAAAAATATTACTATCGTTTATGAGATGCAAGACAAATTAAAATTAATTATTCAATGACAATAATAAAGATTTGAAGATTGCGATTGTTATCGTATTAAATAAAAATATAATAGCGCTTCGAATCTTATTTAAAAAAAGAAATTTAATTTTAAATACTTTTTAAATTTGATTTTAAATAATACATATAGATTGTACTATATATATAGTTATTAATATTACATATAATAATAGAATTTTAAATAATAGGGGGAGAGAAAATTTTCAAAAAATTAAAAGATTATTAATAATAATTTATTATTAATAAAGAATTTATATGCATATAAAATAAAAATATAATTAAAATAATTTGTTGTTGGATAAATATTATGAAAAATTAAAAAAATAATGTGTTTATTTTACAAATATTTTAGATTAGATTTGTTTGCTACGGCATTTAAAACTATCATTGTTATTGGAATAATATGGATGATATATAAGTGAACCGACACTGATTGTTAAATATTCTCAGATCGCAAACTGATCAACATCGTCACAAACAACTATAGTGTAATATATAATACTTGATGTATAATATGAAATAAATTAAACTTGGCAAAATTGATTTCGACGTAACTAGCAATTTTATTCAATACTCTCACGACGTTGACGAAACATCATAGCGATGGGACGTGTTCCTCTTTTAACTATTAATTTTAAATAAGATCGGTTTTATGTTGCGTTAATCTCATTCTAATTGATGGAATTCTCACTTGATAAGGACCACAACCAAATGGTCGAAACGTCGT